TTGAAGAGCAGCAGCCGCAGCGCCTCCAGCCGCAGCGCGTGGCTGGTCGTCCCTGCGGGAGGGGAAGGAGCAGGCTGGGCCCGGGGCTCCTCACGCACCCCACCCCCTGCGAATGTCCGCCCGAGAGGAGGGGCCTTGTCCTCTGCCCTGGCCATTCCTCCTCCCTGTCGTCCCCCCACATTCAGGGGCAGTCCTTCCTGGGGTCTACCCTCAACCCTTCCTGGTCATTACAAATACTTGCCTAACCTTCATTTTATTATATTCCCCCCAAGCCAGGCAGGAGTCAGCATCGCTGCAGAGAGGAGCCAGCTCAGAAGTCTCAGTCGGCCAGGAAGAGACCGGACTGGTGACCATGGCCAGCAGGTGGTGGAAGTGACCGCTCCCCAGACTCCCAGGGTCTCCCGAGGCTCCGAGGCTGACCGTTCACCGGGCTGCCCCGGGGAAGTTCACGGGCCCTTCTGCTAGCACTCACCTGTGCTTCTCAACTGGTGTCCAGGCACTGGGCTGGGGTCAGAGATCTTACCCACCGGTGGACAGAGGCCCAGGCTGGCCGGTGCACCAACCCTGCCAGACCGCCTCCTCAGGGAACACCTACCACCCCCCAGTAGAACCCATCGGGCCAGAGCCCAACAGCACCTAAGGGCCTGGCCCCCAGTACTCACCCCCAGGAGGTTCCCAGAGGCAGGTCCTCGCTGAGGAAGTCTCTCCTGCCAGCCAAGGAGAAGGAGTGAGACTTGGGAGGGGCCGTTCCCTGCACCCCAGTACCGTGCCCTCTGCCCCAGGACTGTGCCCCGGCCCTGACACGGGGCCCTGTTCATGGCATGTTGGATAAATGGACAAAGGAACTGGCAGTGGGAAACTGAGCCCATTCGCTGCACGTCCTCGGAGGGGCCTGGATCTCCCCGGCTCCCTGCCGCCCCCTGTTCTGTGTCGCTGGGAGGCCGAGCTGCCTCAGCACTTCTGGACAAGGAATTGGTTTTCTCAGCAGCCTTTGGAAGGCAGAGAATTTTTTCAACAAATATTTTAAAGCCAACACAATCCAAAAAGAGGAAGTCATCTGGTTAGTAATAAAGTAATAACAGCCCGGCCAGCGTGGCTCAGTGGTCGAGCGTTGACCTATGAACCAAGAGGTCACAGTTCGATTCTCAGTCAGGGCACATGCCCGAGTTGTGGGCTCGATCCCCAGTGTGGGGCATGCACGAGGCAGCCAGTCAATGATTCTCTTTCATCACTGATGTTTCTATCTCTCTTCCCTCTCCCTTCCTTTCTGAAATCAATAAAAATATATTTTTTAAAGAATAAAGTAATAGTAATAGATGACTTTGGACATATTAGTTAACTTCTCTGTGCCTGAAAAAATGAGGAAAATTATATGACTTCATAAATGTAAAGTATTTACAATAAATAGTACCTGGCAAGAGTAAGCACTGAATAAGTGGTCGCAATTAATTATTTACTTATTGTTTGGTTCTAATAGGTAGGGTGTTATGTATAGGGTGATATATAGATATTAATCCTGGGTATATAGAGAGATATTAGCCCTAGGTGGTAGGGTTAATATATATACCTTAATACATATCTCAATCCTAGGAGGGAGGAGGCATTATTACCTCGTGGAAGATGTGCATCAGAGCCTAGATTTGAGTGAGATATCACAGTTGCAAATCCCAGGACTCAGGGTCCTCAGGTGGCCCTGCTCTGAGCCCAGGCACCCCTTCACCTAGTTGGTCATCACTTGGACACCCTTCATGCCCCCATGGTCTGGGCCTGCCTTCCTTCCCACCAAATCCTGGTTCCAGGGTGAGTGAAAGGGGCAGGGGGCGTTCACAAGGCCCCAGGCTCTGTCCCCACCTGACAGCTGCAGGGGCTGTGTGCTCTGGCTGTGATCCCCAGCCCCAGGCCCGGTGTGACAGACCAAGGTTTCCCAGGATGCCAGCTCCTCCGAGGGCAGGGAGAGCTGGGCCACGCTAGTCCAGGTGCCATCTGCAGCTGGGGAAGGGCCGTAGGTGAAGGCGTCCAGTGCGCTGCCGTTGCCAGCTGAGAACCAGATGGGGCTCTCAAGGCCAGGGGGCGCGGCATCGAGGACCAGGCAGATCACCAGCACCTGCTGCTTCCCATCCACCTGCATCGTGATGGGTGGGGCCAGCGAGGGGAAGGGGGTGCCGCCCACACCTGTAAGAGAGCATGCACCTGTGGGGGCCTAGATCTGTTTGTGCCCTCCCAGGCCAGCATCTCACTGTAGGCTCCTAGGCTTCTATCTGTCCGTTCACCATCCATCTGTCCCTCCATCCTCTCAACCACCCCTCTCTCCTTGCGTTTTCCCATCTAAACACCCTTCCTTCCCTCCACCCTGTCATTCACCTCTCTATTCATTCACTCTTTTCCCATCATCCATGTTTTCTACAGCTATTCTCTCTACTTTCCAACTATATGTCCATCTGTCCATCCATCCATCCATCCATCCATCTTTCCATCACTCATCTATCATATCTGAACCTTTCTGTGCAAGGCATTAGGGATACAACATTAATTTACATACAACATTAAATTATATATAATAATTTATATATATAGTAGAAGCCTGCTGCGCTAAATTTGTATATGGGGGGAGTCCCTCAGCCTGGCCTGCATCCTCTCCAATCCAGACCCCTCTGGACCCCTGTGGGATTGGGCCTAAACTGGCAGTCGGACATCCCTCTCGCAATCTGGGACCGTTGGCTCCTAACCGCTCGCCTGCCTGCCTGCCTGCCTGATCACCCCTAACCGCCTCTGACTGTCGGCCTTATTGCCCCCTAACTGCCCTCCCCTGCCAGCCTGATCGCCCCTAACCACCTCTGCCTCGGCCCCCGCCACCGTGGCATTGTCCGGAAGACGTCTGGTCTAATTAGCATATTACCCTTTTATTAGTATAGATTGTCCCCACTTTCAAAGAACTCAGTCTCATGGGAAACAAACACCCATAATACCTGGTTGTGCCAGCCTCAGGAGAGTGGTCGCCTCTGGGGAGGAAGGGAAGGAAACATGATCTGGAATGAGATTAAAGGGGCTTCAAATGTATCTGTAACTTTTTGATTCTTAAAACAATCTAGTTCAGCCGACCAGCATGGCTCAGTGGTTGAGCATCGACCTATGAACCAGGAGGCCACAGTTCAATTCCCGGTCAGGGCACATGCCTGGGTTGCGGGCTTGATCCCCAGTAGGGGGCATGCAGGGGGCATCTGATCGATGTTTCTCTCTCATCACTGATGTTTCTATCTCTTTCTCCCTCTCCCTTCCTCTCTGAAATAAATAAAAAATACATATTTTTAAAAATCTAGTTCAAATATGGCAGGATCATAACCATTTGTTAATCTGAGTGGAACATGGAAGGGTGTTGGTTGTGTTATTCACCCCAGGACATGCTTAGAGAGAGGAAGGGAGAGAAACATTGATGTGAGAGAAACAGCCTCAACCGGGGATTGAACCTGCAATCCAGGTAGATCTGTCCTTTATTTTCCAGAATAGTCCTAATTTTCCACAAACTTAGTCTTTTCAGTAAAGATGATTCATTCAATATATAACCGAATGTTATTTTTGAACAGTTGGATATTTGCTCATAAAAATTAAATCTCAAAGGTTAAAACCTCCAAACAAATTAAAACTGTGAGTTAAGCCCTAGCTGGTTTGGCTCAGTGGATAGAGCGTCGACCTGTGGACTGAAGGGTCCTGGGTTTGATTTCAGTCAAGGGCATGTACCTTGGTTGCAGGCTTGAACCCTGGGCCTGGCCAGGGCGCATGCTGGAGGCAACCAATCGATGTGTCTCTCTCACATCGATGTTTCTCTCTCTCTATCTCTTCCCCTCCTTTCCACTCTCTCTAAAAATCAATGGAAAAATATCCTTGGGTGAGGATTAACAAAACAACAACACACACACACATGCACATGCACACGCACATGCAGATGCACACACACACACACACACACACACACACACACAAAAACACCTCAACAACTCTAAGTGTAGCCAGGCCAAAGAAATGCCCAGGGTGCGGGGACACGTGCCAGGGTATTTTGTGGGGACGGAGGGGTTTGGAGTGCTCACATGAGATTTCTTGAAGGTCAGATAACTGACCTAGTAGCATGTGGATGGTTAGTAGCCCACTTGGGATTTGAGCTCAGATCTTGGTGACTCCAAGTCCCACATTTCACCCCACTTGGAAGGATGACTAAGATTTTGCTAAGTGACAAAGTGGACCAAACCTGGGACGTGGCCTCGAATAGAGTTGGTTTGTCTCATGCGCTTAATACACTGAGTCTCAATGGTCCCATCAATATAATGGGGTTAGTAACACCGGCCCCACAAATTTGTTGCGTAGAATAAAGTTCATGAATGTAAAACACATGGCAGATGAGTATTAGTATTCTTATCAATACTATCATTAATAAGGCATCACAAACAAAGGATGTAGAGAAGGCTGGGAGTGGGCTCCAGGAACCACAGCTCCGGAGCCTTCGCAGTTGTACCGGTAGAGACACTCCCCAAGGAAGTTAAGCATCTGCCTCCTCCACAAAGCCTCCCAGGATTGCTCCTCCTCACCCTGGCTGCGTCCTTCCCAGAGCTCCGTCTCCTGCCCTGCTCCACATGGGTATGCTTGGCCTCCTTAGGAGGGGGAGCTGTGCCACACTGGGTCAGCTTTAGCTCAAGGAGATGTCTTGATTCAAAGGTCAAGGACTCCCTCCCCCCTCCACACCACCCCCCACCCACACATGCAAATATGCACAGGCTAATGAAGCTGGAATTCTCACAATTCTAGTCCTTTGGCTTCAGCCTTGATCGTTGGAGGCCTGGGGGTACATACACCCGGAAGTCACTGAGGCCTTGGGACTTCTCCAGAGAGCCCATTGATAAGGGGGAACACTCAACCCTGGTGGAAAGGGCACCCCGAGGGCAGGAGACCTGGACAGGAAGGGCAGGAGGGGACCCCACAATATTGCCCAGGTCCCATCACTCCATATCACATAACAGCCCTGGCTCCTCCACCCGACCCCCATGGACACCCAGCCAGCTTGCTTTGTTCCTCTATACCTCCAAGAGGTGACTACTCCCTACCAACACTGTGGACCCCAGGGAGCAGGACTTGGGGCCCCAGAGCCAGGTAGCTGGGAGGTAGAGTGCAGTGGGTAAGGGAAGATGGGCTTCTGATGAGACCCTCCCCAGAGGCCCCAGAGCCTCTGTTCTGCCTCCCTGCATCTCACCCACACCTGTACGCCCAGAGGGAGAGGGGGGTTTGGGGCAGACAAATGGGGCACAGAGAGAGAAGCAGGGAGGGGACTCACCTGTGGGCAGGGCTGGACACCCGAGGGCCAAGAGAAGCAGCAGCCAAGCCCCGGCCATGGCCCATTTGATAAGAGGCAGGTCACAGCTGCAGACCTGAGGTGTGGGCTGGGGGAGCAGGCACCCACAAGGCTGCCTCCCAGGCCGCAGGCCCAGCTGCACCTCAGCTGCTCCACCGCGGAGCCGTTTCCCTCCAGAGGGACCCCTCCCACTCCACCTGGGCCCCCAAACCCCATCCTCTCTCATGGGCCAGGGAACTCAGGCTGCCACTCCCACAGCAGGAGCCGGGTGCCCACACTCCCTCCCTCTGAAGAGCACCTCCCCCGTCACTGGCCCTGCCATCTGGAGGACAGAGCACGAGGCAGTATGTCAAGGGCTTCATTCACAGCACTTCATCCCATCCCCCTCACCACTGTGAGTTCCATGTCACAGGTGAGGCGACTGAGGCTCAGGGAGATTGAGTGACCTGCCCAAGGCCACCCAGCTGGCAGGTGGCAGAGCCAGGGCTGGGACTGTTCCTGATGGCTGGCCCCAAAGCCCCATAAACTTGTTTCCATGTTACACTGCCCCTTTGAAATAGGATTTATTTTTTTAGACTAATTTCAAGTTCACAACAACATTGAGAAGAAGGTTCAAAGATTTCCCATGTATTCCTTGCACTGTCAAGTAAAACCCCTTAAAAAAATAAACTTGTTATAAATGCCATTTGCAGAGACGCCACTAAACTTTAGCTAGGTATCATTTTGATCCTAAAACTTCCCATCTAGGTATATCCCCTAATGAAATAATAAGAGAGTTGGTCATTGTGAGACAAAGATTTACGCACAAAAATATTCTTTGAAATATTACACTTAAAACACAAGAGCAGGCCCTGGCTGGTGGTGTTCAATGGTCAGAGCGTTGGCCCGTGCATGGAGGGGTCGAGAGTTCAATTCCCGGTCAAGGGCACATACCTGGGTTGCAGGTTCGATCCCTGGCCCTGGTCAGAGTGCATTTGGGAGGCAACCAATGCCTCTCTCACATTGATTTTTCTCTCTCCTCGCTTCCTCCCTCTCTCTCCCACTCTCTAAACAGCAATGAAAATAAAGGGGACATATATAATACTTTCAGCAATAAAGAACTATTCAAAAAAATAAAAGTAATGTATATTTTAATTTCCATTGTAAGATTAATTGGATTTGAGGGAAGCAACTTTATTTGGGGGGAAGAGTAGAGTTATTAGAATTTTATCAATTTCCTCATTAAAAAAAAGGCAATGAAAAAATATCTGGTGGCAGAGGGGGGAGGATTAATAAAAGACAAAAACAAATGCAAGAGCAATTATAAACAACCCAATTGCTCAATGCTAGGGGAAGAGTTAAATTAACTCAATTCCCTAATTCTCAAGTTCCTCCTGTACAATGAGGGTGCTAATACCTCAGAGGGTCCTGTGATATTTAAAGAAGATAAACCACGAAGTGGATTTAGCACCGTTCCTTATACAGCAAGTCCTTGAACCACGTAGTTTCGCTCCGTGTTGTTTCCTTATAACACTGATGAGGAAATAAAATCGATTCCTGGTGGGGCTGCTATCTGTGAGGAGTTTGCACTGTCTCCCCACATCTGGCTGGGTTTTCTCCAGGGACTCTGGTTCCTCCCACCTCCCAAAGAGGAGGTGAATTGAGGATCTACATCGGTCCCAGTCTAAGTGAGTGTGGGAATGGGTGTGATGGAAGGGTGTCCTGTCCAGGGAGGTGTCCTGTTCTCCTGGGCCAGTGCTGCTGGGGTGGACTCCGACCACCTGTGACTCTGAACTAGAATAAGTGGGTTGAAAAATAATTACCTTATTTGTTTTTATTCTTTTTTTTTTTTTTGAAGTTTAGCAAGTGTTTTCTGTGGGTTTTTAAAATTTTTTTATTAAATCTTTATTGTTCAGATTATTACAGTTGTTCCTCTTTTTTCCCCCCATAGCTTCCCTCCACCCAGTTCCCACCCCACCCTCTGCCCTTACCCCTCCCACTGTCCTCATCCATAGGTGTACGATTTTTGTCCAGTCTCTTCAGTCTCTTCCCACACCCCTTTTCCCCATGAGAATAGTCAGTCCACTCCCTTTCTATGCCCCTTGATTTTTAGATTCACTTATTCACTTGTGTGTATTTGTTGTTCATAATTTTTATCTTTACCTTTTTCTTCTTCTTCCTCTTCTTAAAGGATACCTTTCAGCATTTCATATAATACTGGTTTGGTGGTGATGAACTCCTTTAGCTTTTTCTTATCTGTGAAGCTCTTTATCTGACCTTCAATTCTGAATGATAGCTTTGCTGGATAAAGTAATCTTGGTTGTAGGTTCTTGCTATTCATCACTTTGAATATTTCTTGCCACTCCCTTCTGGCCTGCAAAGTTTCTGTTGAGAAATCAGCTGACAGTCGTATGGGTACTCCCTTATAGGTAACTGACTTTTTTTCTCTTGCTGCTTTTAAGATTCTCTCTTTGTCTTTTGCTCTTGGCATTTTAATTATGATGTGTCTTGGTGTGGTCCTCTTTGGATTCCTTTTGTTTGGGGTTCTCTGCACTTCCTGGACTTGGAAGTCTATTTCTTTCACCAGGTAGGGGAAGTTTTCTGTCATTATTTCTTCAAATAGGTTTTCAATATCTTGCCCTCTCTCTTCTTCTGGTACCCCTATAATTCTGATGTTGGTACGCTTGAAGTTGTCCCAGAGGCTCCTTACACTATCTTCGTATTTTTGGATTCTTTTTTCATTTTGCTTTTCCGGTTGGGTGTTTTTTGCTTCTTCGTATTTCAAATCTTTGACTTGATTCTTGCGATCCTCTGGTCTGCTGTTGGGAGTCTGTATAATATTCTTTATTTCAGTCAGTGTATGCTTAATTTCTAGTTGGTCCTTTATCACAACATCGAGGGTCTCACTAGATTTCTTAAGGATCTCAATACATTTATCGGCGGTTTCCATAAAATTCTTGAAAAATCTTAGAACCGTGGTTTTGAACTCTATATCCAGTCGTTTGCTGTCCTCCATTTCTGTCATTTGTGACCTGTTTCTTTGTCTTCGCATTTTGTCTGCTTCCCTGTGTTGGTAGAGTGGTTTTGTGTGCTAGGTGTCCTACAGGGCCCAGTGGCTCAGCCTCCCCAGTTACCTGAGGTGGACACTCTTGGTGCACCCCCTTGTGGGCTTTGTGCACAGTCTTGTTGTAGTTATGCCTTGATTGTTTTAGGTGTCACTGGGAGGAATTGACCTCCAGGCCAATTGGCAGTGAGAATCAGCTGTGTCTGCAGTGGGAGAACTTCTGTGCTGAAGACACCCTTCTGGGGCAAGACTTGCTTCAGTGGGGCTTTGGTGCTCACTGAGTCTGCCCCCTGAGTGTGTCCCTTATGGATCTGAGGAGTTGTAATCTGGATGGTCCAACTATGACTACTGGGTACACTGGCTCTTGGACCTCTAAGGAGGTGCTAATTTAGCCTCTGCCTGAGGCTACCCAACAGGAGCTATGGAGAGATCTGCAGATTCCTCTTCTTTGTTTCGAGTTTGGAGGTGCCCAGATGAGGCCCAGCTGTGAAGCAATGCAAGCTGCTGTGGGGCCTTGGGCCTTCTTTTGGATGTTCTGGGTCTCTCTGACCCAGCTGCAGTTTGTTAGGTAATTTTCAGATTGCAAAGGGCCAGCCCATTCATATGCAAAAGCCTCTGCGCACAGCTTGGGTGGGGCGGGGTCTCAGAGAATCAACAGGGTGGAGCAAACAGCTATGGCTGATCCTCAGCCCTGCCCTGAGAGGCCCCGGGACTCAGTGTCCCGAGGTAATCGCGGTAATCACTGCAAGCACCTTTGAGAGAAAGCCGCCCTCGAGTTTCGACCAATGCCAGACAGTCCAGTTTCTCCCTGTATGAGTCTGGGTCCCCAAAGACTCACCCAGAACTGGAGTTCAGAGCAGCCGGGAGCTTGTGTCTCCCTCCCGATTGAAAAAGACAACCGCGTCCTCAGTTGCCAGCCCTTTCCACGTGCACCTCCGCACCTCTGCACTTTACTTCCGCACCGCACCTCCTCTGAGTCTCAGTGTGCTTTTCTCTTTCCTTCTAGTTGTAGAATTTCCACTCAGCCAGCCTTCCTGTGGTTCTGGGTGATGTCCGTTTTGTCTTTTAGTTGTATTTTTGAAGTGGTTGTGTGAAGCAGCAATTTCCGGTGTTTACCTATGCCACCATCTTGTTTTTTTCTGTTTTTATTATTCTTTAAAAAATGTATGTATAGTTCACATTTTTAAAAAATTATTTTTATTGATTGCAGAGAAGAAGGGGGAAAAGAGAGAGATAAAAACATCAATGATGAGAGAGAATCATTGATCAGCTGCCTCCTGCACGCCCCCTACTGGGGATCCAGCCCAAAACCTGGGCATGTGCACTGACCGGGAATAAAACAGTGACCTCTTGGTTCATGGGTGGATGTTCAACCACTGACCCAGACAGTTCATATTTCTTTCAATGTTTAATATTAGAAGTGCTTTTGGTCTTAGAAGTTTTGTGATAATTTTGTGACCACAAATATGATATAGACACAACTCTTGTATATATCGCTTAACCTATGGTAAAGATTACTTTCCTTATGCATGATTTTGCTTAAAGTCACAGTTTCGAAGAACCTATTGACAATGAAGACTGACTGCATAGTAAGAAGTTGGAAGTGTTCCCTCTTTCTTTATATATGTGTATACATAGTTAAATACAGAGGAAGTTTAAAGAAACAGGCTACAATCTAAATAGAAACAATGTACCCAATTTTGCATAAGAAATATGTAACTATTTCTAAGAGAGAGCTGATCAAATGTTCACAATGTTATTTCTCTGTGAAAGGATTTTTGAATAGTTTTCTTTTCATCTATCTAGTTGTTTATTTCTCAAATTTTCTATAATAAATCTGTATTATGTTAAAAATCAGGAAATAGAGACTGCTTTGTAGCAACTTGTGAGCTTTGAGCATCACCTTCAGCTTGAAATCTTTGCAGACGGGTTCTAGGAGGAACTTCAGGCTGTGACTAGACTTGCAATGGATTCACCAACAAAGCTTAATGCCCCCTCCACTGGGTCATTTTCTCAGATGTCCAAGGAAAGCTATTCAGCTGACACTCAAGCTGTCTCAGAAGCACTAGCAAAAAACCTTAGTAAGTTGACTCTCAACCATAGTATCCAATTCTCTTCCTTTCCACAAATACATTCACCCCAACAGCAGGACAGAGAAGAAGAAATGCCCGAGTATGTAGTGGGGGTGAGTTATGGCCTGGTCTACAGGAGGAGACGTGGAGTGAGGACAATGGCAAGTCTTAAAAGAGACCTCAAAGGACTGTTTCCAACATGGCTGAGGAGGAGGAATGAGGCTATTCAAAACCGCAAGAAGAATAGGTTCGTGGTGGCATCCTGTCCAGGGTCTTCTTAACGCCAGGTGGTCCTTTCTGCTTAATGATTTCTGCAAGACATCTTGATGCTTTCACAAGCCATCTATCCAGGAACCTACTTCATCACCTGCCTTTTCCTCTGGCAAGTTCCCATCCTCTTCTGCATCCTGATGCTTATCCAGTTTAGCAATCAATGCTTTCGCTGGATTGAAGACGCCATTGGTCTGCTGGTCACAGACATAGCAGCGCGGGGTCGTGCAGAAATGCTGCAGTGCACAGCTCTCGAAGAAATAATGCCTGTACTTGGTGATGACTGGGTTTTGGAAGGACTGGTGACAGATGAAACACTTGAATGGTATTTCCTCACTATCGCTTCCCACTTCATAATTTTCATCTTCATAGACACCATAGCGACCCTCATCAAGCTCACGTTCGATCTGCCACCCATGCTTGTAATCTGATCGGTCATGGAGGAATTTGCAGCTGTCTCCGAAGCCGAAAAAGCCAGTCTCCTTATAGTCCTTACAAATGTCGGGCTGGTAATCCCAGCGCACGGTGGCACGTAGATGCTCGGGAGCTCGGATGGGGCCCTTCCGCACCATTCCGGAGGAAGCATTGCCCATAGCTGTATCCTTGGGTTTCATGTATTTCTGATAGTTATTGATTCCCCGATAGGTCTTGTCAGCTTCCTTGCCTCTCAGCTCCTCCTGAATCTTCTGGCTGCGCTCAAAGATGGCTTGTGAGTCATGTTCCTTTTCTGTGTCTAGCTCGCCCCCATATCCTATGGCCCCACGGGTTTCGCCGAGTGGTGGACTTGTAGACCACATGGAGAGTCTCAGCCTCATTCCCCTTCCCATCCCCCTCCTCCTCCTCCTCGCTACTCAATTCACAATAAACCACCTTCTGTTTACCACTGCCACCAGTCTTCTGTATCATCGGATTGTGGGTCGCCCGCTTCTTTTTGCAGCGAACCACAGTGTTGCCTTCATTGCTGCCACTGCTGCTGCTATCTCCGGGCTCTAGGTCGCAGATTGGGCGCTTCCTGCAGCCTACAGGCCCCTTTCGCCCAGGCTTTTTGAACAGGAAGGTGCACACCTGATCCGTCGCCTTTCCAGGGGAAAGTTGCTCTGCCATTGTGCAGCCCCATGCTCCGAAACTGAGGCTTCACGTTACTGCACTGTTGGGTGTTTCCTTCCCACGTCCCACGTGGGTCAGGATTCAGGAACTGGAAGCAGAGCCGCACACAAATGAATATGAAAAGACAAGAGATAATTTGGAAATATTGGGGGACCAGGCGAGTAAGTCCAACTCAAGGGGAAGGACTTCCTCCC